AACTCATTACCTCCAATATTTTCTTCCCGCGCTAGTGGCGTGTCAGCAGTGCAGTTGGAGCAATTAACTTTTTCAGCATTCCTGTTAATATTTTGCTTTACCAAAACAAATTTTTTTCTCATATTCTCAAAAAATTCATTTTACCAATATATTCTTAATAACCATGATTCTCAGCAAAAAAAAAAAAAAATTAACTTCATCAAACGCCTCCAAAGGGGTAAGAGAGAATCAGCTCTAGAGGCCGCGACCGAAAAAGAGTAAAGCTCTGTAATCGAGACCTTCGAGACCAATTTGAAAGTAGGAAATTGAATGAATAATTGGCCGAAGGAAATTAATTAATAAAAATACAATGAGAAAGATTATATTTTATAAAGTTATTGTGTACAAACTCTTACAAATTACATTATGTATTTCTAGAAGTACACTAGTTTATATTATATACTTCCGAAAACATATAGTGTAATTTATGAAAATTTATAATTTACTTTTATAAAAGTATCATTTGCCAAATACAATACTTTCAACTATTCAAAACAACTACGTTATAAGAAAGTTATGGAATCTGCACCCTTATGTTTGCTTCCTAGTAATTATGGTCACAATAGTGACAATACAATATATGAGAAATAATTAAACACATTTGATTACTGGAAACAATAATTACATGTACGGAAGTTATAAATTTGTGTGGTACTCTATTGTAACGTTTAGACCGAGCACAAAAAAGAATGGAATGGAATGTTTACCAAAAAAAAAAAATGGAATGTTCAAAGCACTTCCTTTATTTGGTTAAAACAAACTTAATAAATTCTTTAAAAATTTGGAAATCATTATGTAAAAATAAAATAAAATTTGGGATGATGCTTAGCTATAAAAAAAATTGGTGATAATTGAATTTCAGAAATATAAGATTTATATTTTAAATTTAATTTGCAAATTATCACGACTTAAATATGTCAAATTTATCTCATAAAATAAATAAAACAAGGATAAATAAACACATAATAAACAATCATTATCAAAATCACAATATTTACAAGTAAAGTAAAAATTAAAGATAGCATACGAATTAAAATATTTAAGATAATTAAAGGTTTTAATATTTCTACAGTAAATGTAGATAATTTATCTACATTCGCTCCCAAAACGACGTCGTTTTGGGTTGAAAAACGAAAAAATTATAATAAAAAAGACTATTATCTGAAATAAATTATAATTACAAAAATACCTTGATTTTTGCCTCAAAATGACGTCGTTTTGGACTCTGTAAAGAACCAATTCTATCCAAAAGCTTAAGCTGTTGGGTGAGGCTATATTAATGGTTTTATATATCTCAACACGTCCCCTCACACGAAAGCCCATTGGACTTGAAGGGTGGACAATGCACAAGCCCACCTACATGTGTGAACAAAGAAATTCCACTTGAAAGAAAATGGAGGGCGACGAGGATCGTACCCGGGACACGAGGCTCTGATACCATGCAAAGAACCAATTCAACCCAAAAGCTTAAGCTGTTGGGTGAGGCTATATTAATGGTTTTATATATCTCAACAGACTCAATGTAGATAAGTTATCTACATTGACTGTAGAAAAAGCGAATCCTTAATTAAAAGCAAAAACCAAAAGACTAAATTACAAAAAAAAAAAAAATCAATTTGACTTGCAAAGGAATAGGCAAGTCAAAATCAAGCCATCTTTTAAGAAGTTGTGATTTGGTTTATTTTAATTAATAAAAAATTGATTCAAATTGGAGTAATTCAAACAAAGCAAACAATGTTAATAAACATTTCAATCAAGAAAATAAAGTAGGAAAAAGAAATGCATAACAAAGAAATAAATTAAGGATCCGTAACTTAGGTCTGAGCAAGTGAATCTTACGCGCTTGACCTTTTTTCTCTGAAAAAGTTCCGATTGCTATGGGAGAAACACGTTCGGCGTCGACGGAGGAAGAGGATAACCTGAATCGAAGTATAAAGAAGCCCAAAGGCGTAGCGATCCTAGATGATCTGATGGACGAGCGGATGCAGGGAGGAGATCTGGGTGATCCAGAGATGCATGCTAGGGGAAAAGAAGATCTGGCGGGAAAACCTCATCTCCCTAAAAAAGTGCTCAAGGATGAAGTGGGATCACAGTATGGTGGATCCTTAGGGAGATCTGGTAGAATTGTCTCATATAGAGATAAGCTATTGAGGCTTAATGGTGCTGAAGATATGTCGGATAGTGAAGAAGACTGGATGGCCAGGCAACGTAGGGAGGAAGATGAGGAGGATATGCTGGAGGATGGAGTTGGAGATAGGAAAGACGATCCACTGTGCCCGTCCTTAAAGTTCTCGAGGAGTCAGCACAAAGAAGCCTGGAAACAGTGGAGAAAGGCACTGATTATTAAGCTGCTGGGGAAACAGATGGGGGCTAGGTTTCTAATGACTCGTTTGGTTAGATTGTGGAACCTGGTGGGTACATATGAGGTGATTGATATGGATAATGGCTATTTGGTGATCAGATTCCAAGAGGATTGGGACTACAATCATGTGCTTCATGAAGGACCATGGATCATTGCTGACCATTACTTAATTGTACAACGATGGAAACCTTTCTTTGATCCGTATAATGATCAATTGAAGAGGCTGGCGATTTGGATCAGAATCCCAGGTCTTCCACTGGAGTTCTATACCACTCAGTACCTCTGGATAATTGGCAGTATGTTTGGGAGAACGCTTAAGATTGATAAGAACTCTTTGAGAAGGAATGAGCTTGGTGATGGTGATATAACTGAAAGAGGCAGGTTTGCTAAGATCTGTGTAGAAGTTGATCTTCGAAAAAGTTTCTTATCAAAGTTTAAGATTGGAGAGCGGGTTATGCATGTGGGATATGAAGGTTTGCATATGATATGCTTTGGTTGTGGCATGTATGGGCATAGAAAGGACTTATGTCCTAGTATTGGTGGACAGAAGTCTAGTCCTGAAACTGGTGATACTTGTACTAAGAGTCAGGCTATGGAGGTGAAGGAAAAAACTGTAGAGATCCAAAAGGAGGAGGAGGCGTTTGGTTCTTGGATGGTTGTCCAGAAGCCTGGGAGAGGGAGGAAGATGAGAGCCTCTCTGGTTAATCAATTAACCACCAAAGAAGATAACCAGAATCTGGAGTCACAGGCTGCTACTGTTGGGGATGGTGAAACTGTTGGGGATGTAATGCTTACAGATAGCCCAACTGAGGAAATAACTCCTGAGTTAATTATACAAACAGGTGACAAGAAGGATGTGGTTCCTAGTAAACCCGAAGGAGGAGGGGGTATTGAGAGGAGAGCCAAAGGATCACATCTTAGTATCCTATCTTCAGAAGTTGAAAAACAGAAAAGAAGTGGTATAAAATCTGGATCCTTAAAGGGAGGTTCTATGGGACCTAGTGGATTACAAAAATATAAGTCCACTCCTAAAGGTCCTGTAGCTAGGAGCCAGTCCTCTGAGAACCAGCCTCCCAATTCTTCGAGTGTGGGAGTGCAAAAACTGCCTACTAGGAGTAAGGGTTCAGAAGGGGGGGTGCTGCAACCTTCTCAGGATCCGAATAACTTAGCCTATGGGAAGGTCAAAGGGGATAAGATTACAAATATGCTGAAGACTGGAGGATACAATCTGAATGGGTTAGAAGCTGATCAGGGAATTACTGGCCTAGGAGGGGCAAAAAACCTTGTTGTATCTTGATGATTCAATCATTGGTGGTTGAGGTACTAGGTACTTTTTTGTCATTTATGTTTATGAATCTTTGTTCATGGAATTGTAGAGGAGTAGGGAAAAAAGAATTCACTGCCCTGATTAGAGATATTAAATATAGGTTTAAAATAAAGGTTCTAGCACTACTGGAAACTAAAATTCAGGGTGCTAGAGGAGATGTTATTGTCAAGAAACTTGGTTTTTCAAAATTCTTTAAGTAGGAGGCTGTGGGCTTTTCTGGTGGAGTTTGGATTCTATGGGATGATAGGGATGTTGAGGTGGAGGTAATTAAAACCCATCATCAATATGTTCATACTAGGATTCATTATGTTGAAGATAAAAGGATGGAGTTAGCTACTTTTGTGTATAGGAGCCCGAGGAGGATAGAAAGAATAAAGCTTTGGGAGGATTTGATGGTTATTGCTGAGTCTGTGGTGGGACCTTGGGTCCTGATTGGGGACTTCAATTCTGTCCTAAGGCAGTATGAGAAGGTTAGGGGGCTTGATGTTTGTTGGAGGAGCATCCAGGATATGCAGGATTGTCTTGAGAAGTGTAGAGTTTATGATGTTGGGTTCAAGGGACCTAGCTTCACTTGGAGGAGGGGTAAATTACAAGAGAGGATTGATAGAGCTTGTGCCAATGAAGCATGGAATGTGGCTTGGCCTAACAGATTTATAGCCCATTTGCCTTTCTTTAGCTCTGATCACAGGCCAATCCTTATTAGCAATTTCCAGGCTTGTCAGGAGGTTAAGGGGGCTAAACAATTCAAGTTTCTAGCTGTCTGGCTTACTAATGCTGATTTTGGTAGTATTGTCAAACAATGTTGGGATAAGGATACTGACTGGACAGAGGCAAGAAGTGAGTTTGAAACTGTAGCTTCAAAGTGGCATCAAGAGGTCTTTAATGAGGAGATGAGACAGAAGCATAGGATTTATGCCATAATTCAGGGTCTGGACTTAAAGTTGGAAGCTGGACTTGACAGAGAGCTTGAAAGACTGCAAAGAGATCTTTGGAAGGATTTGGAAACTATTCTACTAAGGGAAGAATTGAACTGGTTCCAGAGATCCAGAGTTAAATGGATGAAATTTGGAGATAGGAATTCGAGATTCTTTCATTCTACTACCATTGCTAGAAGAAGGAGGAATAAGATTTTTGCCATAAAAAAATGACCTTGGGGAATGGACAGCTGACGCTAAGGATAAGATAGAGACGACTGTGCAGTATTTTGAGAGGCTGTTTTTGGAAGATGATGGTTCTCATGAAGAATTCCCCATTAAAGGTGTTTTTCCTAAAATGGAGGATCAGGTTCTGAAAAATCTAGCTAGATCTCCTGATGAGGTGGAGATAAAGAGCATTGTGTTTAAAATGGGTAGATTTAAAGCACCTGGTCCAGATGGGCTTAATGCTGCCTTTTTTCAATCTCAGTGGCATCTTGTTGGCAAATCGGTTTGTGAGCTAATCAGAAGTATCTTTGATGATCCTAGGAAGATTCAACTGGTTAACCAAACTCACTTGTGCTTAATTCCAAAGGTTGATAATCCTGAGTGCGTGAGGGATTTTAAACCCATTAGTTTATGCAATGTGTCTTACAAGATAGTCACTAAGGTGATTGCTAATAGATTAAGAAACTTGATGCCCAGATGGGTTGCTCCAAACCAGTGTTCGTTTGTTAAGGGGAGGCATAGTGCTGATAATATAATGGTTGCTCAAGAAATCATCCATTTAATGAAGAAGAAGAAAGGTAATCAAGGATGGATGATGATCAAAGTTGACCTTGAGAAAGCCTATGACAGGCTGAGTTGGTCCTTTATACATGATACCCTGTCTGAACTGGGTTTGCCTGGCAAACTGATTTCCCTCATTGACAGTTGTGTTGGGACTAGTGAGCTAAACATGCTATGGAATGGTTAACCCACTAAATATTTCAAACCATCCCATGGAATAAGACAAGGGGATCCCCTATCTCCATACTTATTTGTCCTATGTGTAGAAAGGCTTGCTCACCTTATTCAAGTAGCTGCTGATGTTAAAGCCTGGAAGCCAATTATCCTGAGGAAGGGAGGTCCTCCTATATCTCATTTATTTTTTGCCGATGATATCATTCTCTGTGCTGAAGCTGCTTTGGATCAGGCTCATATAATTAATCAAGTTCTTAGATTATTTGCTGTGAGTTCTGGGCAGAAAATTAATCTTGAGAAGACTAGAGTATTCTTTTCAAGGAATGTCAAGTTTGGTAGAGCCAAGGAGATTAGTGACTGTTTAGGGATAAACAGCACACCTAACCTGGGAAAGTACTTGGGAGTGTTTCTGAACCACTCCAGAGTCAGTAAAAATTCTTTTGAGCATATTCTGGAGAGAGTCAAACAGAGAATGAATGCTTGGAGTGTCAAATCCTTATCTCTAGCTGGGAGACTCAAGTTGGCCAAATCAGTGTTGTTTGCCATGCCTACCTATGCTATGCAAACAGCCTGGCTGCCCAAATCGGTTTGTGAGGAGATAGAAAAGCACACCCGTGGATTTATATGGGGATCATCAAAAGAAAGAAGAGGTACTCACCTGGTGAAGTGGGAGAGAATGTGTTCTAATAGACAGTGTGGAGGAGTTGGGCTGAGAGAGCTAAGAACCTTTAACCAAGCCTTTATTATGAAGGTTGGGTTTGGGATGCTGGCCAACAAGAATTCTCTGGGAGCCAGAATACTGAGAAATAAGTACAAGCTGGAGGATTGCCTTCTGCCTAATATTCCTAGGAATGATAATGCTAGTAATCTGTGGAGGGGCATAAGTTCATCTTGGAATCATATCCTGGCAGGAACCAGAATTATGTTGGGTAATGGTAAGCAAACTAGATTCTGGTTGGATTGGTGGGTGCCTGAGGTTGGTAAGCTGGAAGGTTGGAAGGTTGCTTGTTGTGTTAACCAAGATGGTGAGTGGGATTGGGGTAAATTCAATATATTCCTCCCTAAGGAGGTTTGTGAAGCCATAGCCAAGATGGAGAGTCCTAAGGAGGGAGATGAGGAGGATAAGATTTTCTGGAAGCCTTCTAGTAATGGTTTATTTACTGTGAAATCTGCCTACCAGTTCATCAAGAAGGATGCTCCTGCTATGCAGCATCAGGATAGCCATTGGGACCTTGCTTGGAAGTGGAAGGGACCAGAGAGGGTGAAACATTTCTTATGGCTGTTGATTGGGAATAATCTGTTAACAAATGAGCAAAGAAGAAGAAGACATATGGGGGGATGAAGCAAACTGTCCTAAATGCATGCTTCCTTGTGAGGATTGCTGTCATGTGATGAGGGAATGCTATTGGGCTAAACAGGTTTGGATGTTATTAATTGATAATAGAAATTATAATTTTTTCTTCTCTGGTGACTTTCTGGATTAGCTTCAATTTAACTTGGGTAGAGGGAAGAATAATAATCATGACCAGAGTTGGAGGCTTACTTTTGGAGTGACTTGTTGGATGCTTTGGCAAGCTAGGAATAACATGGTGTTTAGAAATGAGAACTGCTCTCCTGAGAATCTATGTCAGAAGATAAAGATTTTTGTGCAGAATGTAATTCATGCTGACTCTGTTCTGGATGCTGCAGCTGTTAGTGTGGTTATTAAGGAGGTGGATATGGTACTGTGGAGGCCTCCACAAAAGGGTTGGATAAAGATCAATTCAGATGGGGTCTGTTCGTTGGATGGGTACAAATCTGGATGTGGATGAGTCTTAAGAGATAGTGATGGTAGATGGTTGGTGGGTTATTTGAAGAAAATTGGGCAAGGAAATGCCTTGAAGGCTGAATTATGGGGTTTGCTATTAGGTCTTCAAGTGGCTTGGGAGCATGGTTTCAGGAAAGTTCATCTGGAAGGTGATTCCTCTGAGGCTATTCATTTGGTTCAAGGTGATTGTCCTTCAGATCATCCTTTCTGTGAACTGGTTCATAGAATCAAGGAGCTCATTGACAAGCAGTGGAATGTAATTCTATCTCATACAAATAGGAAGGGGAATGAAGTGGCGAATTTCTTGGCTTCAAAAGTGGATCATAATTCTTGGGAATTAGTTATCTTACCTAATATCCCTATATAGGTTGTTTTAGGTTGGTTGAGAAGGATCTGATGGGAATTGCTAATCTTCCCACTGATCCTTAAGTAGCTGTTTTCTGTTTGTTTGTTTTTCCCTAATATCCAAAAAAAAAATAAAAAAAATCAAACATGCCAACAGAAAAATATTTTTGATTGATTTTGATATATATTTTTTATTTGTTTTTACTTTTTTAATATTTAATTACGAATTTTTTCGTGGACTGGTAAAGATAAAGTGTTGACAAAACATACCACAGAAAAATATTAATAGTATGTTTAGATTAATTTAATTTAGGGTTAAAAATGTTTTTATTAGAAGTTTCTTAAGAATTCTTAGAAAATTATTATTTTCTTCAAATAATTTATTTTCAAACATATACAAATTATTAAAGAGCATAACCCTGGACTCCTGGAGCAATTAAGCAATATTGCTCGGAAAAACAAAAAAGTAAGTGAAGGAGAACAAATGCGTACCTCTCGGTCACTTGTTGAAGAAACTCCAATACTTCAAATTAACCGAGTGAATATTTTTCTTGAGGAAGCTGACAGTAGTTCTTTTACGAGGTATGAAACCAAAAGATAAAAAATATGTAACAACTGTTTTCTTCCTTCTTTTTTGTATTTTTGGTGATGTGTGAGCTGGAAAATAAGAAGAATCTGTTAAAGCAAAGAACACTAAAACCAAAAGGCAAACAATAGCAATCTGCAACATTTTTCTTGTATTTTCCTTTACTTTTTCGGTTGAATTCTCCGTGTTTCATGAGCTCAGAATTAAAACAAGGAACCTCAAAGGCAAATTTAATACTCAAACAATCAGCAAGATGTTTACTCTTTTTCTTTTTCTATTTCTTTTTCTATTTTCATTTATACTCTGGATTTTTTATGCTGTATAAGCTGGTAAATACCAGGAGTTGATAGATGACTCAAATAGAACTTATAAAAGAACAACAAATTTGTAACTCTCTTTTGTTAAGGTTTTTCTTTCAAACCAAAGCAATAAACTCTCTTTTGATTAATTTTGATATAGATTTTTTATTTATTTCAATTTTTTTATGATTAAATTTGATTTTCTTATTATCAAGTCAATATTAAGTGTTCACAAAAAATACCAAATAAAAATATTAATAGGATCTTTAGATTAATCTATTTTTAGAACTAAAAATATTTTCAATTAAAAATTTCTGAAGAAAGCTTTAGAAAAAAAGAATATTTTCTTAGGATACCAATATATATATATATATATATATATATATATATATATATATATATATATATATATATATATCTTAAATTTATTTATTTTCAAACATGTTACAAATTAATAAAGAGCATAAAACCTCTTGCCCGCACGTTCTTCAACAAGTATAGCGATGGAAATGACTTCTGAATCAGAAACCAAATAATCTGCAGCAAAGATGATAATAATTAGAATAATATGAACATAAATTAAAAGATTTCTTAATGAAAATACAAGCATAGACAGAGAATTGAGCTCCTAGATGTACAACATAATCGGGTGAAGGAGAACAAATGGGTTACATCTTGTCACTTGTCGACGAAATTGCAACACTTGAAATGAACAGAGTGAATAAGCGGACAGTACGCAATTGCTTAACTTCAAGAGCTATAAGATACCAAAAGGTAAACAATATTATGAAACAACTTCTCTCTGTTTCTGTTTTTTTATTTTTGGTGTTGTATGAGCTGGAAAATAACAAAAATCTGAAAGGCAAACAACCTGGGAAACAATACGCAACCTGGAATTAAAACAAGAAATCTGTTAGTTTTTCTGCTTTTTCCATGTAGTTTTTTTAGTTGGATTTTCTGTGTTTCCAAATCTCAAAAACAAGAAAATTGGAATCAAAACAAGGAATCTCAAAGGCAAATTGGAATATTCAAAATGTTTTCTTTTTTCTTTTTTCGTTTTTTTTCTTTGGGTTTTTTGGGTTGTATAACCAGTAAAATATGAAGAGTTGATTGAAGACAAAAATAGAAACCGAAAAGACGAACATTAGCAACGGTCTTTTATTTTCGATGTGCATCCGAAGACGGAAGACACTGTAGATATATGCGAATATGTATCGATGTGCATCCCCTAGAAAAATTTAAAGATAATTCTACTTGAAAATAATTATCAAACAATTAAAAAAAATAAAAAATAAAAGAAAAAAAGAAACCAACAACTACTAGAAATTTATGATAACTCTGAGGGGATGTTTGGGAAATGGTTTATTTTGACTTTTGAGATACTTAGGAGAGTGATTATGAGTTTTCAAAATAATTATGTTTGATAGCACATTTCAGAAAATTTTATACAGAAAGTGATTTTTTTGAGATTTTATTTTATATGTAAAATATGGGATAGGATATTCTGACACCCAAGTTATATTACACCCATGTGACACCCAGTCAATCTCATCGTTAGATCACTTATGTTGATCCAATGGTTATATTTATTTCCATCTTTGTATGATCATGATTTCCCAAATTTAATATTTTATATTTATTTTTACCTTTATATGGTTATGATTTTCCATATTTAATGCTTTAACTTTAAATTTGGGAAATCATGACCATACAAAGATGAAAATAAATATAACCGTTGGATCAACATAAGCGATTTAACGGTGATATTGACTGGGTGTCACATGAGTGTAACATAACTTGGGTGTCACAATATCCTATCCCGTAAAATATAACCCAAAATGTCATCTCAAAATACCACCAAAAGAGTAATATTCTAGAAATGCCGGGTGATGAAAAAATGTCACAAGATTTTTCGGACAAAATTAACCCTCCTGTGTTTTATTGCACTACAATGGTTGAATGATGTTTTCTAGAACAGAGATTTATGTTGCTCTCTCCTTCGTGGATTTGGTTTCCACCTTCAATTTTCTAACCAAGTTCGGATGTTGCTACTTTCTTCTCGGCTGCTTCTACAGGGTTCTTAAATTTCCCGGTATGTTTTTGATGTTTGGGTTCTGTTTCAAGGTTTTGCGGCTTTCTAAGGGTTCGATATGCTTCCTCTGCGATTCTGGAGGCTTACCCAGAATTCATTTGTGCTTGGAGAAGGTCGTTTGGGAAGTGTCTAAGCCAAAGGTTGCACCTTTGGAAAAAGGGTGTGACCAGAATTCGAAACTATCGATCAAGAAGAGCTCTAATGTTGCACTACAGAAAGTGAATGCTAATTCGTAAGATGGGTTGGAAGGGAAGGATGAAAATGAAAAAAAGGTTCGTGATGAGGACGAGGTGCTTGATGTAACGTCGATGAGAAAATTAGTGAAGAAAATCAGGAACAAAACTTTGAAGAAAGGTTGACTCACAAAACACCAGATTGATCCGATTCACAAAATATAGGGTAGTTTTGTAAAATTACCTTACATTTCCAGCAATATTTAATAATTAACCAACCCAGCATTAGAAAAATTAACTTAATATTTTCAAAAATATTTTGACCTACCAAATTTTTTTATGATAATATTTCTGAAAAATTCATATTCTCACCGTATTTCTTTAGCCTCTATCAAACACCCGTAATTGTACTATGGAATACGAAATCATCCAATTTTTTGAAAAGGTATTATTTGGTTCAATTTAATTAACAAAAGAAATTTTTTTTTTCAAAATGGAATAATTCAAAGTTCAAACAAAACAATAATGCTAATAAAAGATGTAAAAGAAACGTGTACGCCAGAAATAAATAAAAAATGGCAATTACAAAAATAAAATAAAATCAAACATAGCAAGTGAAAAATTATTTTTAATTAATTTTGATGGGGGAGATTATATTTATTATTATATCTTTTACTATTTTTTACTACTAATCTTGTTATCGTTAGATCAAAATCAAATCAACGACTTTGACTTGATGTTATTTTGTAACTGTTAATTTAATTTTGATTCAACATTAGCAAAGTTGGTAGTAAGCGGTAATAAAAAAAATGGTGTTAAGTATAATCTATCCAAATTTTGATATGTTTATATATATATATATATATATATATATATATATATATGTTATATTTACAAATTTTTTATTACACTATGTCTTATCGATAATACACTCTTGAATGAAATCTTACCGATAAGACATAGTGTAATTTGTAAGTTTGTAAAAAAAAATTGTCAATATAACTTTTCTATATATATATATATATATATATATATATATATATATATATATATATATAACTCTTTAATTTTCACTTTTTTACTATGGACGAGTCAAGATCAACGGTTGACAAAACATGCCAAGCATATAGTTGGAAGACGCCATAAAATTAGATACATGATTCCATCGATGCGCATACGGCATACTGCTAGAAAAATTTAAATATGATTCTAGTTGAAAATAATTAGAGTAAATATCATTTTTGATTTGTATCAAAAAATACGGTTTCTACTTTAGTCTCTTACAAAAATAAATTAGTCAGTTACTCCATAACAAATTCAAGGTAGACCCATTTTAGTCCTTTTGAGGGACTAATATAAGTCTTTTTTGAATTTGTGAGAGAGTACGATTTCAACTAAATGGGTTCACTTTGAATTTGTTAGGGACTAATTGACTAATTTATTTTTGTAAGAAACTAAAGTGGTGACCATGTTTTTTGTTAAGGACTAAAAAAGTATTTACTCAAATAATTATAAAACCAATAAAAATGAGAAAACAGTTGCAGCAATGATTTAAATATGGGTTTATTGTTTATTATGTCACTGGATGGTCAAGTCAGTATTAAACTACGTCGTTTTGTTTATTTATTTCTTTATATTTATTTCTTTATTATGATTCTATTTCTCTCTCTTCCTTTATCACCATGGATTCACTTTCGTACGGTTATGATTTAATGACTGGACAAATACTTATATCCAGTGACTTTACACTCATCAAACCCTTTAAATATTGGCACTTAATTACCGGTAGACAAGCATATTAAACTTGACAGTTTTAATTTGCAATACAACTATAATTGTTCAACATTTCAATTACATCATCATAATGCATCCTAAAAATGAAAACTTTTATAATGCATTTGTCTCATTTGTCATTTGTCAACTAATTGTAACAATTGCAAAATATACTTTAGATATTAGGGGAAAATGACAGCCAACAAACTGTAACAATAAAAAATGTGATTTGTCTCAATTTTTTGAGTTGAATATTGTGGTTACAATATATTTGCTAAACATTTCACATTAAATTTGGGAGTATGATTATTTATAGAAAAGAAAAGAATTTCACAACAATCATGTGAAATAAACTAAAGATTTCTATTTCAAATTATAATAACTTTATTGTATTAAATCTATCTAATAAATAAATAAAAGCAAGGATAAATAAACATATAATCATTAGTAAATTCACAATATTTACGTGTAAAGTAAAATGATAAACACAGCATATTAACTAAAATATTAATGATTAAAAGAAAAAACCGAAAGATGAAATAACAAAAAAAAAATACATTTGGCTTGCAAAAGATTTTTACGCTCAACGTGTCTGTTGGTGAAATAGAAAATTCAAGATCATGCAAATTTTGAAAAACTTGTAAGTCAGTTATTTTTTATTTTTTTATTTTTTTGTTAGGAAGTAATTTGGTTGATTTGAATTAACAAAAGAAATTTGTTTCAAAATGGAATAAATCAAACAATGCAAAATTTCTAATAAATATTTTTAACCCTGAACATAAACTAGATAAAATAAATGTGTAACAGAAATAATTCTTGCATACCAACCAAAAAAATAATTTTTATACATGTATTTTTTAATTACTTTCGCATTTTTATTATTTAAATTTGAATTTTTTTTGTGGTGCGGTAAAGATCAAGTATTGACATAACATACAATATAGAAGTATTAATAACATGCTTAGATTAATTTATTTTGGGACTAAAAGTATTTTTATTCAAAAAAAAATTTAAATAGATTGAGAAAATATTTATTTTTTAAAGAATTTATTTCCAAACATGTTACAAATTATTAGAGGGTATAATTCTCTGTGTATCAAAAAAGAAAAAGAAAAAAAGATAGAGTATAATCCTCTTACATATATGAACTAAGAAAATATGGGTATTAACGAATAGTTGGGTAGTAGGAGAATGTTTGGTATAGGATAAGGTTTGATACCACAAGACTTAATAATATAAGGCTTGATTGTATAAAATTTGATTAAATTTTAATACTATCCAGCGTTTGACATGGTATTGTATAAAATAATATATTACATATGATAATATCATCAAGTGTTTGATAATGCACTCTATAATACTAAATAGTAAGGGGTTGGTTTTTTATGCAGTGAAACTTATAGGAAAAATTTAAAAAAATCCTATAAGTTTCCTCAATTATCATTTACCCTCTCACAAATTTTTTGAATCATTTATACCTTTACTTAATGTTTTTTTTATCACTTATCCCCTGACTTAAAGTTTTCTTATCAGGGTAAGTGATAAAAAAAATTTAAGTCAGGGGTAAATGATTTAAAATTGTGGGAAGGGAGTAAATGATTATGAATAAAGTTATAGGAAAGTTTTTGAAATTTTTCTTTATCTATATTGAGTCTAAAACGACGTTATTTTGAGCAGAAATATATGTGTTTTTATAATTTAATTTATTTTAGAGTTATAATAATCTTCATCATTATATTTTTTTTAATCATTCAATCTCAAAATGATATTGTTTTGGAAATAAAACACATAACTTATCTGCAATAACTGTAGAAATATTTTTCTAAATAATAACTTAAGGGAAAAACGTTTGTCATCTTAAAAGATATATTGACGCATATTTGTAGATTTTTACATTCTCTCCGTATAATTAGAAAGAGAGAGAAAGTGGAGGAGAGATAGTGTAAAAAATCTCCTAATATACATCAAAATGACATCTTTCCATATAAAATGACACAAAATTATAACTTTTAAAATGACAAATAATTTTTCCATATACGGAGTTATGAACAAATATTAAAAAAAATCTTTAACAGACGACAAGCATGGATGTCAAATTAAAAAGGTTTTACTCTCCTGGTACAAAAGAATTGAGTAAAAGTATTTCCAAAAAAAAAAGAATTGAGTAAAGGAGAATAAATGAGTACCTCTGGTCACTTGTTGAGGAAACTCCAATACTTGAAATGATTAAAGCGAGCACTAAAGCTGATGGTAGCTCCTTCACAGAAGTATGAGATCAATAAGTAAACAATATGAAACAACTTTTCTCTCTTTCTTTTTTGGGATTTTGGATGTTGTTTGAGCTGGAAAATAATTATAATCTGAAAGGAAAAGAAAATACAAACTCAAACAATATGCAACATGCATCTTCTTTTTTCTTTTAGTTTTTTGGGTTGGTCTTACTCAAAAACAAGAATCTGTAAATGGGAAATAAAACAAGCAATCTCTAAGGCAAATTTCAATACTCAAACTAGAAGACGAACAATCACCAACATGTTTTCTATTTTTATTTTTTTCTTAATTTTTCTTATTTTGGTCTTTTGGGTTGTTATGAGCTGAAAAACAACAAAGTAAGCAAAACATAAACAAGGAATGTAAAAGGAAAATATGAAGAATTGATGACTCAAAACTAAAGCAAAAAATAACAATCAATCTGCATAAGGTAAAACAAATCTCAATCTCATCATCGTGTATATCTCAGATAGAACTCAGAAAGGACTCAAAGGAGGAATGGTGTTATAACTTATAAGCATGGTGGCTCTATATTTTGAAGGTGTAATTTCTCATAATGCAATTGGTGCAATATGCCCCTTCAATGGGTGAAGGGTCTATATATATGCAGAAAAGTATTCCCTAAGGATGAGAGAGAATGCCATAATCATTTTTGGCAACTGTCCTCACAGTGCTGTGTTAAGTAGGGAACCCCAAATAATGAAGAGGTGAGTTGTATAGGTGAGAGATTTTCTACTATGAAAGTCTAAAATTCTCATTTTAGGGATATGCAAGATAGTAATCCCTTAAATGGGGAGACCAGCCAATGGACCGAGGCCGTGAGGCTGGTTTAAAACATAGACAAAAGCAACCTATGATTTAGAATTTATATAGTAGATAAAAGAGGCCTAAGAATGAACACTTTTATAATGCAAGTTGTAAATAATTTCCAAACATCGATAATAAAAAATTGAGACCCAAATAATTGTAACAACAAAAAATGTCGTTTGTGTCATTTCTTTGAGTTGACTACCATGTTGCCAAACATTTCAAATACAGAAAAAAAGATAAAGCAATAGCCACGGCTAGTAATAGACAAGAGTATTGGGATATTCAAGTGTGATGAGTCCTACATTGGTTAATAATGAGCTAAGTGAAGAGTATATAAGTAGAAGAGACCCATGAACCCAATGCCTTAAGGTTTTGGGTTAAGACATGGTGTCAAGCCCACTTGCTGTACTTGGAGTAACTTGGCCCATTGGTGGTGGTCCCCCGCCACGGGCTTCCCCTGGACCTGCCTAACAATTGGTATCAAAGCCATCGTCATATTGAATTATGAGGGAATTAAGTTTTGTGATTTTTATATATGATGAATCATGAAAAGTTTTGTTTTATTGTCTTTTGGCATAAAGTTTATTATTTTTTGAACGTGGGTTCCATCTTATGTATTTTGTATTAGCTATGTAGTGTTATTTTTGTTCCCTGACGGTGATTTTTTGGTTTTGGAACAAAAGCTACATTTAAAAAAAAAAACTAGGATTCACAGTTTAATAAGGGTTTATTATTTAAATTTTGAATCTGTGAATAGATGGAATGTTTGGATAAATTTTGGCTTTATAATCGATGAGGTTTTGTTGTTTGAATTTTTTGAATAAACAATTAATTCTCTTAGAAAATTTGGACTCACGGTTTGAAAGAAATCAAATGTTTAAGGTCTTTGGTTTTGGGTTTTTCCTTATATTTGATATTCTTTGTTAAAAGCTAAATATAGTTTATTTTTTTAGGTATTATGCATCATTTTCAAGCTTTCATTTGAAAAGGCTTACATGTGCGTCGATTGTGCATTAATTTTTAAGACTTATAATGAAAAGGTATTTATTGTATGCATCATTTTCAAGCTTTCATTTGAAAAGGCTTACATGTACGTTGTTTGTGCATCATTTTTTAAGCCTTATAATGAAAAGGTATTTATTGTTAATGGTATAATGATATCGTAGGTATGTATATACATTGAGGATTGATAAAGAATAATTTTCTTTATTGTTGTTATTTTGTTTTTAAATGGGTTTATTATCCCTAAAGATTTCTATTTGAAATTAAATATGATAGATTTGTTAGCCGCCACAGTGGCCAAATTTATAAAGGTTAATTTGATTTCAAATAGGTTGGTCATATAAATATATTTTATTTATGCAAATAATAATCGGCCCACAGGAAGGTTATTGTTTGGCCAAATAACATATGTTGTGTGATCATGTGTGTGTTTATTGCTTATGCGGATAGTGATCGGCCCACAGGAAGGTTATTATTTGGCCAAGTAACAAACATACCTGTGGTAATAAATATGTGACAATTATCAAGAATTCTCCATGTAATTCATAGTCGGCCCACAGGAAGGCTATGATTTGACATGACTTATTGTCAATGTTTGATTACTACATTAAGAGTACCACTTACAAGTTGATATTTTTGTCCACAGACTAAATATTAATGTTGTGCTAGGTATCTTATAATAAACTCATTTTACTTCGGATTAATTGTCTATATCATGTATGTAATTTATTTATGATGGTGTTTGAATATATATGATATGACATGTTATTAGTATGTTACTTTTTTTGTTCTCTGTATAGTTTCTGCTACCGCTGCCAATTATATTGCTCAAATGAATATGCTTCCAATGCTTAATGGAGCAAATTTCAAGCTATGGAAAGAGAATGTGGAAATTGTTCTCGGCCGCATGGATCTCGACAATGCGCTAAGGACTAAGAAACCCACTTCCACTCAGGAAAATCCAAACACAGATAAAATTGAGAAGTGGGAACGCTCAAATCGCATGTGTCTAATGATCATGAAACGTTCCGTTCCGGAGGCGTTTAGGGGCTCGATTGTTGAGACTACTGATGCCAAGTTGTTTCTGAAGGAACTCGAGCAATACTTTGCTCGAAATGAAAAGGCTGAAATTGGTCAAACCTTTTCCAAACTCATAAACATGAGGTATAAAGGAAAGGGAAACATAAGGGAGTACATTATGGAAATGTCTAATCTTGCTGGAAAACTAAAGGCATTAATTAGAGCTGCCCTCTGAGTTGCTCATGTACTTAGTTATTATCTTTCTTCCTGCACAATACGGTCGATTTGTGGTGAGTTATAACACTCAAAAAAAAGAAAAAGAAAAAAAATGGACTCTTAATGAGCTCATTTCTCACTGCGTGCAAGAGGAAGGGAGGTTACAGCCAGAGAAGACTGATAGTGCTCACTTGACATCAACCTCTCAAGACAAGAAAAGAAAGAGAGCTAAGTATAATGCGGATGCTTTGCCAAAAAAAAGCAAAAGAAGCAGGACCAGGAATTCACATGCTTCTTTTGTAAGAAATCAGGACACATGAAGAAAGAGTGTTCCAAATATAAGGCATGGCGCGAAAAGAAGGGTATGACTCTCACTTTAGTTTGTTGGTACTGGTTCTGTGGCACAAGCGTTTAGGTCATATCTCTAAATAGAGAATTCAGAGGCTTGTGACTGATAGAATTCTTGAACCCCTTGATCTGGATGATTTTGAGGTGTGCATTGAATGCATAAAGGGGAAACAGACAAACATAAGGAAAATAGGTTCCAACAGAGCTTCAGACGTCTTAGAATTGATTCATACGGATATTTGTGGACCATTTCCTATAGCCTCTTGGAATGGTCAACAATACTTTATCACATTCATAGACGACTATTCAAGATTTGGATACCTATATTTGATTAGAGAGAAGTCACAATCATTGGATGTGTTCAAAGAATTTAAAGCTGAAGTTGAACTTTAGTTAGGCAAGAAAATTAAGGCCATTAGATCTGATCGTGGTGGTGAATACTATGGTAGATCTGATGGATCAAGTGAACAACGTTCAGGGCCCTTTGCGATCTTCCTAAAGGAGTGTGGAATCGTCCCGCAATACATAATGCCAGGTAAACCTAGCATGAATGGTGTTGCGGAAGACGAAACCAGACTCTTAAAGACATGGTGAGGACTATGCTTAGTCATTCTTCATTGCCAGAATCACTTTGGGGAGAAGCACTAAAGACTGCAGTTTATATCCTTAATAGGGTTCCTAGCAAAGCAGTGACAAAAACCCCTTATGAGCTATGGAATGGAAAGAAACCTGGCATAAGGCATTTACACATTTGAGGTTGTCCAACAGAAGTAAGGCCTTATAGGCCAAATGAAAGAAAGTTGGACTCAAGAACAATCAACTGCTATTTTGTTGGATATGCTGAACGCTCTCGAGGCTTTAAGTTTTATAATCCCACTACAAGATCCTTTTTTGAGACGGGAAATGCCAGATTCCTTGAGGATGTTGAGTTTGGGGGGGAAGATAAAATAAGGAATGTTGTCTTTGATGAGGAAGAAAATTATATTTCTCTTCCTAATATTGTCATCATTCAAGATGCAATCACGAAACAATCAATTAATGATCAGGTCCCTGTTCATGACATTGTTATGGAACAGGCTTTGGTCCCTGACATTGCTTTGAGTCAAGACAATAATGAACCACCCCCTATGCCACCTATAGAACAAACTCAACAAACTCAAGAAGTGCCATTAAGGAGATCCACTAGAGAAAGGAGAAATGTAATTCCGGATGATTATATTGTGTTTCTTCAAGAGCATGAAAATATTTTAAGCTTGAAGGAAGATGATCCAATCAACTTTCAACAAGTCTTATAAAGCTCTAATGCTCATAAATGGATTGATGTCATGAAAGATGAGATGCAATCTATGAAAGACAACGATGTTTGGGATCTTATTGAGTTGCCTAAAGGTGCGAAACCTATTGGTTGTAAATGGATATTTAAAACCAAAAGGGATTCCAATGGCAACATCGAAAGATATACGGCACGTCTAGTTGCTAGAGGTTTCACTCAGAAAGAAGGCATAGACTATAAAGAGACTTTCTCTCCGGTTTCTACGAAGGACTCTTTTAGGACAATAATGGCGCTTGTGGCTCATTTGGATTTGGAGCTACATCAGATGGACGTAAAGATAGCATTTCTCAATGGTAACATTGATGAGACAATTTATATGGTGCAACCAGAAAACTTTGTATTGGGAAATTCAAAGTCTATGGTTTGCAAATTGAAAAAGCCCATCTATGGCCTTAAGCAAGCTTCTCGTCAATGGTACCACAAATTCCATCAGGTTATTATCTCCTATGGCTTTGAGGTGAACTTAGTGGAAGATTGTGTGTATCACAAGTTCAGTGGGAGTAAATTCATATTCCTGATACTATATGTTGATGATATCTTACTTGCCAGTAGCAATATAGGCTTATTGCATGAAACCAAGAAACTTCTCACTAAAAATTTTGAGATGAAGGACCTTGGTGATGCATCTTTTGTCTTAGGTATACAGATACTTCGAGATCGCGCTCAAGGTATCCTACGGTTATCACAAAAGGCCTACATTGAAAAGATTTTGGATAGATTTGGCATGGAGGATTGTATACGCCCATATCTAGGGGAGACAAGTTTAGTCTCGCCCAATGCCCTAAAAGTAAGCTTGAGATGATAGAAATGACAAAGGTACCTTATGCTTCGGTAGTAGGAAGCCTTATGTATGCCCACGTTTGTACTCGCCCTGATATAGCATTTATAGTGGGAGTGTTAGGAAGATACTTGAACAATCCAGGAATGGATCATTGGAAAGCAGCCAAGAGGGTTATGCGGTATTTAAAGAAAAAAAAAAGATTATATGCTTACATATCGGAGGTCAGATCAATTAGAGATCGTCGGATATACTGACTCTGATTTTGCTGGATGCCAAGATAGTAAAAGATCCACGTCAGGTTTTGTCTACATGTTGGCTGGAGGAGCTATTTCTTGGAAGAGTGTTAAACAGACACTCGTAGCTTCCTCTACTATGGCCGCTAAATTTGTAGCTTGTTTTGAGGCATCCAACCATGGGGTATGGCTGCGAAACTTTGTCACAGGGCTGCATATAGTAAGTGGTGTTGAAAGGCCACTGAAGATTTATTGTGACAACAGGTCAGCAGTGTTGTACTCCAACAACAACAGAAGCTCTTCAAAATCGAAGCACGTCGATATAAAGTTTCTGGTTGTTAAAGAAAGAGTTCGGAGTGGTCAGATTTCCATAGAACACATAGGGATGAACTCCATGCTTGTGGATCTGCTTACTAAAGGCTTAGTGCCTAAGGTCTTTCACGAGCATACTGCTCATATAGGTGTTGTTTTGTTTGATGACACTACAGTTTAGTGGGAGTTCTTTATGTTGGTGTTCTATGTAAATAAATAAATGAAATATTCTTATGTTTGTTTTCTGCAGAATAAAGAATTCAATGATATTTTCCCTCTGAATGTATTATATTTTGTGCTTGTGTTTCTGCTTTGTGTATGCAGAAAATTTAGGATTGATCTCATAAAGATTAAAGAAGGACCAGTTGGAAATAGGCATGGTAAGATCACATTGCATGTAATTTCCATGCCACTCATCCATACTTGATCTATGTCATTGAATATATTGGTGCGATGACCATGGAAGGTTTAGTTACGCTTGAAAGTGACAAAAGCCGCCATGATCTCATATTGATATAGGAGGTGGACCAGATTGTTTCTAAGGAGGAATCTAAAGAAAAATAGCATACAGTTGCGCACTAAAGATATATGATATAATTATCTCAAGTTAATATGTGGCCGAAGTGGGAGATTGTTAGGAAATTATATTTTCTAATAATCATTGTGGGTCACATATTATATTAATAATTATATTGTGCTATTTATATATATTGAGTAAATTAAAGTGATCAGTTAAATATTTCTGAATAGATTCCTAAGTGAGTATGGGCTGAATGAGTGGATACCGGTGTTAGGCCAACTAGGTATAATGGGAGCTTATTGGCCCAATAATAAAGATAAAAACACTATAAGGGTTATGGTCCCCAAGACTTCAAATAACAACCCTAGTTTCTCTTCCCCATCAAGAGAGAGACGGCACACTAAGGAATTCGATTTTAGGGTGATTTGACTGAGGAAGACTACAAACCCCAAGAGACAAGATCAAAATTATTCCGCTGCAATGGAGACAGGTATGCCTCCACTTTTATGCTCTTATTTCTTTATGATTTGGTATGATGAAGCTTGGCTTGTAGGTGATAGTTGAGAGATTTTCTACTATGAAAGTCTAAAATTCTCATTTTAGGGATATGCAAGATAGTAATCCCTTAAATGGGGAGACCAGCCAATAGACCGAGGCCGTGAGGCTGGTTTAAAACATAGACAAAAGCTACCTATGATTTAGAATTTATATAGTAGATAAAAGAGGCCTAAGAATGAACACTTTTATAATGCAAGTTGTAAATAATTTCCAAACATCGATAATAAAAAATTGAGACCCAAATAATTGTAACAACAAAAAATGTCGTTTGTGTCATTTCTTTGAGTTGACTACCATGTTGCCAAACATTTCAAATACAGAAAAAAGATAAAGCAATAGCCACTGCTAGTAATAGACAAAAGCACTCTTAGAATGAAAATTTGTGTGTGTGTCTATATATATATATATATATATATATATATATATATATATATATATATAATGCAACTTGCAAATAATTTTTTAAACATTAATAATGGGCAATAATCTCTTTTAAAAATAAAAAAAATGGAAGAGTAAGGCAACCTACAAAATTTTCCATCGTTCCTACTCACACAAAGTCAGACTTGATGGGAAGTGGTTTTTTATAGATAATGGGAAAAAGATAACCCACTGATGCTAACAATAATAAATTATTTGTCTATTTCGCTGTGTTGAATATCGTGATTGCATTACAAATTGCCAAACATTTTAAACAGACTTCGTTAGAATGAGAAAGCAATAGCCAATACAGTAGTGGACAATAGCACCCTCAGAATGAAAATTTTTATAACACAACTTCTAAATAATTTTCAAACATTGATACTGGAAAATTGCATTTGTCTCATTTCTTTGATTTGAATATCCTGATTACATTATAAGGAAATCATGGAATCTGCACCCTTTTTTTACTTAGTAATAATTTTATTAACAATACAATATATAAGAAAGTAGTGAAACAGTTCTGCTTCCTGTGAACAATAATTTCATGTATCGAAGTTATAAATTTGCGATTTATACTTGTGGAGTTGTGGTGTACATACTCTAATGTAACGTTTGGTTCCAGGACAAAAAAAAAAATGGAATGTTCATAGTCTCCTGCTTTATTTGGTAAAAACAAGTAAAAAAATTCTTTAAAAATTTAGAAATCAATATGTAAAAACAAAATTAAATTTTGGAGTATGCTTAAGAATGGTGAAAAGTGAATTTAAAGTACCATGACGTGAAACCAACATAAGATTTATATTTTAAAGTTAATTTACAAATTATAATAATTTAAATTTATTAAAGTTTTCTCCTGAAATAAATAAATAATCATTATTAAAATTAATAATCAATATTTTCAAGTTACAATATTGACAGTGCGTTCTCTAACAGTACTACGTTTACTTTCCCCTAGTTGAGATCCAATTAGAGGTACAACATAACTGAGTGAAGGAAAAGTCTACCTCTGGTCACTTGATGAGGAAAGTCCAATCCAATACTTCAAATGAACAGAGTGAATACTAAAGCTGATTGTAGTTCCTTCACGAGATTGAACAATATGAAACAACTTTTCTCTTTCTTTTTCGGTTTTTTGATGGTATATGAGCTGAAAAATAACAATGATCTGAAAGGAAAAGAAAACTCAATCCGTAAGGCGAATTATTTTTTTAATTTTTTTTTTGGTAAACGTAAGGCAAATACTTTGAGTAAAAGAAATATAAAATAATCGGCAAATCTTTTTCTTACTTTTTTTTTTCTTTGGGTTATTTGTGTTGTACAAGCTGCAAATATGAAGAGTTGATTGAAGATGCAAATAGAAACCGAAAAGACAAACAATCTGGAATGCTCGTGTTCAAACTAAAGCACTAAGCTCTAATGGGGCGTTTGGTTGAGGAAAATTTTTTTGAATACTAAAAAAATATAATTACTAGCGAAATGGTTAAAAAGTGAGTTTGATAAGAAAATCTTAAAAAAGTTGATTGGTTGATCGAAATATTATCAGGGAAATTTATTCAAATTTGCAAAATCTATATTCGGGAGAAACTTCACACCTGTTTTTTTACTTCCCCAGTTATCTCAAAATACCACATTCAAGTGGTATTCTGTAATAGTGAATTTCATCCAAAAATCAACACAAAAGTCATTTTCTCATCTATACTATTTGTCTAGTATTTTTTTCAAAAACCTGAGCCAAACATAATATTTTCCAATATCTACTTATACTTTTACATCAATTCCAAAATAAATCTTCTAATGTGGACTCAGTAAACAAGCAATATGTGGGTTCCACGAATGATGATGAAATGGGAAAATTAAGTTTCAAGATGCCATAGATATATGCGAATATCCATGTGCGTCTTCCTAGAAATTATTAAATATATCTATACTTGAAAAAAACAATATACTCTTAATAAAAAAGAAGCAACGACTGCTAATGACAGCAAATAAATGTCATCTGTTTCCTTTTGGAAGTTGAATATTGTAATTACATTAGATATAATGCAAATTGCAAATAATTTTAAACCATTGATAATGCAAAACTGACTGCCAGCTAATCGTATCAATAAAATATGTCACTTGTCTCCTTTCTTCGAGTTGAATATCGTCTTTACTTTACATAATAATGCAATTTGCAAGTAATCTTCAATAGTTGATAATGGGAAAATGACAGCCAGCTCATGGTAGCAATAAAAAAATGTCATCTGTTCTCGTTTCTTACTGTTGAATATCGTGATTCGTGATTAACATATATAAAATTCAACTTGCTAATAATTTTCAAACTGGGTGACAGCGAACTAATGGTAGAATTAAAAAATGTTATTTGTCTGATTTCTTAGAGTTGACTATCGTTTTGGAATTAATTTGGTTGTGTTCTAAGAGATGAGAACTTCGCCAGTGAAGAAACCTCATGCGCAGCGAGAGCATGGACATCAAGATATAGTCACTAGCTAGTTAGTGTTGCTTGCTCACTTAATTTGTAATTCACACTTTTGATTTTAAATTGAAAAAAATTGCAACCAGAAATAGAACACATTTATGCAGACAGAAAACAAAGCAATAAACTCTCTTTTGATTAATTTTGATACATATTTTTTTTTTATTTCAACTTTTTATGATTAAATTTGATTTCTTATGATTAGGTCTAGATTAAGTGTTGACAAAACATACCAAATAAAAATGTTAATTGGATCTTTAGATTAACCTATTTTTAGGACTAAAAATGTTTTTAATTAAAAATTTCTGAAGAAAGATTTAAAAAAACAATATTTTCTTAAAATTATTTATTTTCAAACATGTTACAAATCAATAAAGAGCATAAACTTCGTTTATCAAAAAATAATAATAATAATAATTTTATCATAAAGTAGGAGATAACTATTATCTCTTACAGACTTATTCATGCCTTGGGTCCACTTTCAGGGGGAAAAGAGAAAAAAAAAAATTAAAGTGAGATCCATATTGAATTTATATTTGTAGAAAATAAACTTTTTCTTATCTAGCATAAAAATAATAAATTCCAAAAAAATAAAAAAGAGCATAAACTTCTTACATGAACGAACGCAGCGACTAAGCCGATTCCCGGGTTTTGTAAGGAAAATATGCAATATTGACGGCACACGTTCTTCAACAAGTATAGCGATGAAAATGACTTCTGAACCAGAAACCAAATAATCTGCAGCAAAAATGATAATAAGAATAATATGAATATAAATTCAAGAATTCTTATTGAGAATACAAGCATGGATATAGAGAATTGAGCTCCTAGATGTACAACATAATCGGGTGAATTAAGGAGAACAAATGGGTTACCTCTCGTCACTTGTCGACGAAACTGCAACACTTCGAATGAACGGAGTGAATAAGCTAATAGTACGCAGTTGCTTAACTTCAAGAGCTATAAGTAACCAAAAGGTAAACAATATTATTTCTCTCTGTTTCTTTTTTTTGGGATTTTTGGTGCTTATGAGTCTGAAAGGCAAAGAAAAATCAAACAAACAGGGAAACAATAAGCAACCTGGAATCAAAACGAGAAATATGTTATTTTTTCTTCTTTTTGCTTTTAGATTTTTTGATTGGATTTTCTGTGTTTTCAAATCTCAAAAACAAGAAACTGGGACTGAGATTCAAAACAAGGAATCTCAAAGGCAAATTGGAAAACTCAAACAAAAAGACAGACAATTAAAATGTTTTTTGTTTTTTGGTTTTTTCTTTGGGTTTTTTTTGGGGTGAAGAGTTGATTGAAGATAAAAACAGAAACCGAAAAGACAAACACAATCAGCAAGGCTCGAGAATTTTCGTTTTTGTGTGCAACCAAAGCAGTAAACAGTAAGTTGAAAGACGAGATGGGCTTAATCACTTTCAGATGGGTTTTGAAGAATGACTATGAAATGGGAAACCTAAGATGGAAGACGTACTATAGATATATTCGAGTATGTATCGATGCGCATAGACAAAATTTAAAATATAATTCTACTTGAAAAATAAAGAATTATTTCAACTCAAAATCTTAAGGTCTATGATTTATATTATATCCTCACGCAAGAGCCCTTTGAACTTGAAGCGTGAATACTGAACATGGCACCAGTCCATTATTGGTGCTACACAAGCCCATTTTTTTTTGTATATCTTGTGTTTTTATTAATTTCATCTAAAAATGGAGGACGGTGAAGATCGAACTCGTGACTTCGTGACCTTTTTAATGATTTATCTTATATTCTCGGACAAAAATAATTATCAAACAATAAAAAAATAAAAACAAACAGCTACTAACAGAAGACTGATAAATGCCTGCACTAGATAAAAGCATCCTATTATATTCCAAAAAAAAAGACAAAAGCATCCTAAGAGTTAAAATTTTTATTATGCAACGTGAAATAATTTTCAAACATTGATAATGGGAAAACGATAGCCAGCAAATGGTAACAATAAAGAACATTATCTACTCCACACACACACAGCTCAACGTGCCATTCCCTCCAATCCTCAAAACCCTATGTTTAATCCTACATACAAAAGTTCACTCTTCGACAGACTTTTTTAATTTCTAATCCTCGCGGGCATATTTTTTAGAATAGGAGAAAGTCTGATAGTATAAAACATAATTATATATTAACATCTGATTAAATTTTAATTTTATTCAACATTTGGAATGATATTGTATAAAATAATATTATCCAGTATTTGATAAAGCACTGTATAATATTAGATATGATAAAAATAAATATTTTTGATAAAAATATTATTTAATAAAAATTTTATATAATTCTTCCAAATATGTCATATGATATTAATTTTTATAAAAATTTATTGATTAATGTGTCCGAAACATATATTATTTTTATAAAAATGAAAATCTCTAGTATTTTAAAAATTAATATATTGAAAAATTAATTTCTATTTTAATATATTAATATTAAAATAATATATTAACTTTTGAGAATTGCATTGGTCAGCGATGTTAATACATCAACTCCTTATCAGGCTTAACCGAGCAAAATTTCATAGGATCATTAAGAGTATTTTAGTCTTTTCCTAGAGGGACCCACTTAAATAACTTAAAACCCATTTGAACCCCTCTTTCTCTCTCCCAAATCTGCGGCCTCTTCCCCATGCAAGTAGAGGTGGCAAAGTGGGCGGGGCGGGGCCGTCATCAACCCGCCAAAAATTGAGTCAGCCTGCCCTGCCCGCTTTTAAAAGTGGGCTAAAAAACTCGGTCCGCCGGCCCGATTTTTTACATTGACCCGCTATAACACCTCGTGTATTCCAGGTTTGTTATCATGTCATCGTATTAAGCGTTGCTTAATTAAAAATATGCGAAATAACTCTTTCTTTTCAATTATGACGTCATTATCAATTACCAAGGTGATTACTTAATCCTTTTTCAAAATAATGCCTGTATGTAAATTGCAATGAAACTAAATACTCTGAATAACCTCATTATATAAATAAGTGAGTATCTAAGTCACAGAACTACCACACGTAGTCCGGACCATAATCTTGATACAATTATACAACTCAATACTAAAATAAAACATAGTCAATCAATGTGGCATGGACAACCCCCGTGCTCACCAAATAAGGCAAAAAGGCCCAACAGAGTCTCAAGTCAAACGACATGATAGTAAATAAAGGACATGTCACCATCCAAGCATATCATCAATAATAGTATATATCTCAACTCAGCTCTGGCCTCCTGCCGCCCGAGGTATCAACTCTCGAGTTACTTGAACCTGAAAATGTGCCCCAAATGTGGGGTGAGATCTCTAAACAGAAATCTCAGTAAGACAAGGGGTCCTCAAGGATTTCTCCATCCCAAGCTCACTTACATGTGCAATATAAGTACAAAAGCAGTAATATGATATAAGTTCCAAAATCAGTGCAATGCAGCAGATAATCATATCATGTGTGTCAACTATTCTACTGGCCAGAGAAATGCAGGATTTACATACGTCTATTACCTATACAATCAGTGCAAGTCATACTTACACTCACCCACAGAATCACCCTATGGTATGTCTCCTACATACACAGGCTTACCGTCTAGGTAGAACAATACATGCATATTATAAGGCACAATCAATACATGAAAATATATCTCGTATATAAACCATCCCCCATGGGGTATGGTCGAACCAACAATGGCAAAACCGAGGACACGAAAGCTTACCTCGCAAGCTAACTATCCAACCAAGAGTCCAACCAAGTCCAAGGTTCACAAATAGCACTCTCACAGTCTGTTTATACCAGCAATCATATCAACAATCATAATCTACAAGCATACGACATAAAGACAACGTTTTTCCTTTTACTGTTCATGTCCTTAGGCTTCTCATAAAGCCATAAGCCCTTAATCTCATTGATTCTGACTT